AGCACAATCATTTCAGCTCGCAATGTATCATCACCACTTTTCAATTTATATTCATTCTTTACCATAAATGCTTTCTTTCTACAATAAGAATTAAATACTATGATTTAAAAAAAGTAAAGTGATAAACACAAGATTCAAAATCCAGGGTAAATTTACATGAGTAATTCTGATCTTGTTTGTTCAAGTTCATTATCAAGCTCGCTCTTCTCTTGACGTGATGTACTCATAGCATCTTCGCTAGCAAGATGTGATCTTGTTAATTCATTCTATATAAGTCGTGTTAATGTAAATTAATGCGTACCTGATCGAATACAATACAAATCTAATGTCTTATGTGGGTACCTGGAGCTCTTCGGCCTTTCTTTCTAATTCTAAAATCTTGGATCCAAGAACATTCGAATGTTGTGTGTATAAACTCTTGGCCTCAAAAAGTTCTTTATGCAATGATTCTGGAAAAAAAAACACGCAAAATGAACACACTAGAGTTTGATATTTAAATATAATTCATAGTATCAAATTTTATACCATTTCTTTCAATTTCCTTTGTCAATTCTCCACTTGTAGATTCCAAAAGAGCTTTGGTTCTCTCAAGTTCTTTTTTTGCTGACCCGACTAACCAACCTGGTGACGATTTCTGATGTGACAAAATTTAAATACTTTGATTATTGCGTGTTAAAATTAAATGGTAATTTGGATTTTTTTATTAAAAAAAAAAATTTTGTACCGCTGCGCTCGAATCTTGAAGGTTTTCAATACGTTTGGTTAATCTTTGATTGTGGAATGTTAAAAGATCGAGTTCTTGGAGTGACTGCGTAAATAATAAATATAAATTTAATTAGGCCATACAAAATTAATAAAAAATTTTTCCGGCAAGCTTATGAAAATCAAGAAATTAGGCCCTAGTGGAATTAATTGAACATACTGCACGCAATTCTTGTTCTTTGGCTTTACATTCGTCTCTTAATGATATATTGATTTCATGTTCCTGTTACGAATAAATCAATTTATTAATTAAAGAAATTCGATAAATAAAAATGAAATAAAAATTAAACACTGGAAATAAACCTTGATGATTGCTTGCTTCAAGACAGAGTGCTGGGCTTTTAGCCTAATAATATAAAAAGGAATAAGATAAAATAGTAAGCAAATAAAAGTATGAAGACATTTACCGAGAGAATTCTTGGAATAATTTTTGATAACTTTCGGACAACTCCTCGGCTGAAGCGGTGCCCACTATATGTTTTCAACATTGAAAAGTCGTTATTCGGAAAAGTTATATTAAAAAGGTTACAATAAATTTACAAACTAAAGCAATTCAATACCTGAAGATTGAAGCGACACAGAAGTTGAATGTCGACCATTACTCATGTTTATTGCAGTCAAAAAAAAAATATTAAACCGGACTTTTTCAATAATGATAATTATGGATCAAATAGTTCAATTATAGGCGCCTTTTTTTTCATATGTCCAAACAAAGCATTCATCCATTTTGGGCTCCAAAATAGCGTACGTACGTAACCGGTTTGCATTACATTAATCTAAACATATGTTCGCTAATACTAAGGCCGGCTGGTTTCACTTAATGATTTAGTAATTTTTTTGTTCATTAGGCAGGATTTTGGATCTGATAATAGATACTTTGTTCGGGTAATTGTGCGCAGAGGTATATGCATGCAAAGGCAGGGCGTGTCTCATGAGAACTTTTTTTTTTTAGGAATATTTTTCATAAAACTTTTTTATCTTAAATAGATAAGCGTATATTGTCAAATTTGTGCCCAATAAAATTTTATTGGGCGATAAATAATCACATGGAATTTGATCTATGCAATCCCGGGTCTTTCCATAAAAGTTGTTGCAGACAATCGGTCTGGAAACACTCCTTAATACCTCTACAATCAAACAAACAATAAAAAATACTGTATATATGTATAACATCATTATACGTATAACATTTGAAATTTATAACTTTTTATAATATTCTTTTGTCATAATGCATTTTATTAGACTAGTAAGAATACCTACTACTCTTTAGAAAATAAAACATCCCTACTACTCTTTAGAAAATAAAACATCCCCATTACTGTTGAGAAAAATAGTTAAACGTTTTGATATTATGTTCTCATTCTATTATTAAACTTTAAAGACCTTTTACATTCGCCATGGGATCGTATTTCTTAAATGCTTCCTTGAATTTTTCGGTATCCGCTCTTTCGAGTTCGTCAGATATTACACATTCCCTCCAATTAACACGCTGTGGCGACCCTAATAACTTGCCAAGAACTTTTCTATAAATGATAAATGAAAAAAAATTTTTACATAATGAATAAACCACAATAAATCCCAATTACCAAATACATTCACTAAATACAATCAAATTCTTACCTTCCAAATTGTACATCAAATTGTTCATTCGTAGCAATTTCATGTATCAAGCTAGATCCATCAGGTAAATCTACTTTAAAATAGTTTACGGGTACAATAGTTGAAGATCCTTGGACTTGGTGAATCTTTATTTGGTCGGAATTAGCTTCCTCGAGGAATGCATTACGAATCTTTTCGGAATCATGTTCAAATGGAACTGGTACAATTTGTACGTGATAATGCAGTTGTTTTCTACTGAAATAAGATACTTCAAATGATACCATTCCTGCTCCACATTCTTGGAAAAATCTTTTCAATGAACTTTTATATTTTTCCATTTCAGCTGTCAAATTAATTTGATCGTCAAGTGGAGCTTCTCGGAACGTGGAGTAATGCATGATTGAAACCTGTTAAAAAAGGTTGAGAAAAATTAAATGTCAATGTTCACATAAATCAGTGTCACTTTTAAACTACCTACCAATATAACATGGCCACCACCCGGTACAATCGATGCGGTAGGGTCTTGAGTATCAATCAAACTTCCTTTAGCCAGCTAAGTATATATATATATATATATATTACATTAATATATTAAATTCACGTTTTTTTATCTGTATATAATTAACATAAATTTAAAAGATCATACCGCTAAATACACTTCGGTACCCACAGAGGCAATCAAGCTATAAAAATTTTAACGCCGATTATTAAAATTGTAATGTATTTTAAAGACACACACGTTATCATTATTTACTTGTGACTTACTGTCTAACAGTTTTCGGATTGGATAAACAAAACCAGCAAGCTTGTAGATTGGGTGGAGTGGGTGGAGAGCGTGGAGCGTATACTGCATTATTCATAAAATAAATAAATACAAGAATGGTATACAATGTTGTGATAACGATCAAAAATTGTGACTAACCTTGTCTATTTTGTTTAGCTTGCAGGAATGTTGGGCAATCCCTAGGGTGATGACCTTTTTCGCCACATCCTTTACATTGGTAGTTGGGACAATCAAATATAAAATGTTTTCCTACTTCCTTGCACGAATGACAAACATAGTCCTTAGGAATTGGTTTCGGTTTATTTTGTTGACGTTTTTTATTTTGACTGCCTTGAGGACAATCTTTAATCCAATGGCCAGCAATATTGCATTTTTTACATGTATAACTTTCTGGCGGAGGACCTATTAACCATTAAAACGAAAAGCAAAACAGCTAATAAATATACGTCATAAATATCAATCAAGAAAATGCCTAGCCTTATTAAGTAATACCATTTGTGCGACCACGTTTAGTCGATGATTCGCCCT